TAAAGTAAGAAAATAAATGTATCCAAACAATATGTCCTGCCCTGATCGTCCGCTCCTTCCGTGTGCCACGCCCCCTCGTTAACCCCGTGTGGAATCCCCGTGTGTTCAGCTGTTTCTGGTTGTTGTCATTAGTCCTCTGTATTTCTTTCGCGTTTCAGTTTGTTTCCCCAGTCCGGTCATTGTATTGTCCGTCTGCGTTTTGCCTGCCTTACCTGTAATTAAACCCAGTATTCCCCGATACCCTGACATGTGCGCCTTTGTCTCCGTTTTGTCCCCACTCGGCACAACAATATTATTATAATTAAATGTATTAATGGTTTATTATTAATATTAAAATAATTAATAAATCTTTATTTTTAAATGTATTTTATTATATAATAATAATTATTACTGTTACTGTCTATCATTGTCTAAATGTATTTTTACTGTCTAAATATATGTATTCAGTTAGTGTAAACATGCACGATGCTATCACAGCGAATGCGAGGCTGAGACTGAAGCTTTACCCTTTGTTTCCGCTGAGAGACGTGCAGCGTGACTCATTTCCCTGCGCATGCAAGTTATCTTTGGTCGGCATTCACGGTTTGACTTCTGAGATTCAGATCAAACTCTAGGTCATTTTTTTTCTAACTGGTTGGTTCGACTTTTAAGAAATTCAAGTTCTAATGAGTTCGAGGTACCACTGTACGATTACATGTTTAGCTAATTGTATTTATATTATATGAAATATACACACATTGTATATTGTCATATAATATATTTACATATATATTTACGTGTGTATATATATATACACACACACACACACACACACAAACACAAAATTTAGACGCACACAGAAACAGTTGACAAATACAAAGTGCTACTGACCTTTGAACTCTGAATATGCATCCAATTAAAACACAACAGGGCAGGGGAAGAAAGCAAGAGAATATTAAAGCCATAAGCAAGGAACAGAATATATCATCTGACCATAGAAAGCAGTGATGTGCAATGGCCACAAGATGGCGCCATAGAGCTTTGCTTGCACTTACAGAGGGCGAGGTTGCTGCCGACAGGAGAGGAAGTATTCCACCACAAGCGATGATTATGTTGTCCACCATCTGAGAGATGAGGTGAATTGTGTTGTGGACAAAGATGATGTTTTCATTGCTGTTCACGAAGTCCATGACTGACTTGGTCGAGTGACTGTAGGGATTGGGAGAAGAAAGGGCAAGTGCTTCATTCAGTGCTTCTCCTATGCTGCTGGTAAACAGGTGGCATACAGGTTGTGACCAGAAGACTGTTAGGTCCTACTCCAGGATCCCTACATATAGCACTTATTCTCATTATGACTTGTAATATGTCCATCAGTATAAGACAAAATTTGTGAGTTTTATAAAAAGCAATTAAATAATTACTGGTATATTTTACTAAATCAATAGTCAGTTGCTTTAACAGGGAAATATGGACTGAAGAGAAGATGTTTGCTCGTGGTGAACCAGCCCTAAGGGAGGCTGTGACCTCTGACCTCCTCCAGACGTGGACATCGGTCTCCAGGGCAAAGAGCAGGTCGGTCAGCAGTCGCTGGTGCATGGGTGACCATTTGAACTCTGGGATGCGAAACATGGTGGTCCGTGGGCCTGGGCTGAATTGGCGCCGCTGCTCCTCCGTCATGGGCATGCCCCTGAAGCCCAGGTCCACACGCAGGTCCCGCTCCATGTGGCTGGACGTCCGCCCATGCAGAGTCTGCTGGGGGTGTCGCAGACGGTGCACTTAGCTTTGTCCACATCGCCCTCTACTGTTCAGTAGCAGCATTACACTATGATATGCTAACCATCTTCCACATTGCCTGGTCAGGCCCCTAAGAATAATGAATCTATCAAACTGTAAATGAAAATTATAAAGTCCACAGACAAACTAAACTCAAAAGATTTTGTAATTTTTTTTGTAATTTTTGCTTTTCACAGAATGAATATGGGATTTTTCAAAAGAACAGTGTAGACATGTGTGATGTGAAACATTTTCATTAGGAAATTCCCAAGGAAATGCCAGTGATGCATATAAAATACCCACTCAGAGGCATTTAAGGCACCATAGGCTCGGGCCATTACACACCTGTGGAGGACAGGCCTAAATCAGCACAAGAACCTCTGCTCTGTCTGCTCAGCAGGTACTCCGAAAAGAGCATCAAGCCCTGCCCTCTGTCTTCCGATTCCCTGAGGCCGTGAGCTTATCAGACCAATAACTGCACAGCATCTGTGCAATGGAAGCGGGGTCTCCCAGCACTGCCATCATGTAAGACAGGCCAAAGGTGGAGGTGCAGACTGTCTCCCAGCACCGCCACCATGTAAGACAGGCCAGAGGTGGAGGTGCAGACTGTCTCCCAGCACCGCCACCATGTAAGACAGGCCAGAGGTGGAGGTGCAGACTGTCTCCCAGCACAGCCACCATGTAAGACAGGCCATAGGTGGAGGTGCAGACTGTCTCCCAGCACCCCCCTATGTAAGACAGGCCAAAGGTGGAGGTACAGACTGTCCCCCAGCCCCACCCACCACTTAAATGGCCACCTCATACCAGGCAGCACCTGAGAGTTGTGGCAGTCACGAGCAGGTGCAGAAGCAGACGCAGACGCAGATGCAGACGCAAACGCAAACGCAGACAGCTGCAAGGGCTTCCTGCCATTCGCAAGCAGCAGTGTTTTAGAGCAGGGCTGGTCAGGCCGGCGAGACCACAGCTATGTATCGTGCCAGAATTGCTCTTAAATCAGCCTGGCTCAGGGCCACACTCAGCATATGGCAGTAATAAGAACATGCTTGAAACATAATCATCAGGGAGATCATCTAGAACAGAATGTTTCTGAGAATATTAAACAAGAATGATATATAGACACCCAATATAGAGACCTTTCATTATAACCACTTAAGTAGTTCTGGGTCACAGTAACTCTGCTGCCATATTCAGTGCTCACAAAAAGTCTTCGGACACTTGCTTAACTCAAATTTATTGGTCTCATAACAAAAGTTCATCAAGAAACAACGTTTAAAATATCCGCACATATTTCTTTTTTTTGAGTGTTATAATTTTTTGACTGACTTATTGAGTTCTTGCTGTTTTGCTATTTTTTGCAATCATGGTCATTGGCCCCCAAAGGGATACTTAGCACAAATGTTTGGTGTTTTATGTTATTATGAATTAAAAAGCACCCAATGAGACTACTTGTCAAATACCTTTTTAACTCATAACAGCTCTTTTAGAGCTATTGTATTGGGTTTTATTTTATTACTACTTGAAATGAACGTGTTACTTAAATCTACTGTATGTTTATACTGTGATATTTCTTTGTAAACAAATTATTACAGTAATGATTTTTTGTTATAAAACCAATTAATTTGTAATATCCATCCATCCATTTGTAACCACTTGTCCTATTCTGGGTCGTGGTGGGTCCGAAGCCTGTAGGTGCCAGGCAGGAAACAACCCAGGATGAGGCGCCAGCCCATTGCAGTACACACTCACATAAGTTACCTACAGGCAATCACAGTAAGTGGAACCTTCCTTACACAACCTTGAGTGGTGCCCTATAGTAATCATGCTAAATGTCAAACCTGAGTGGTCGCTGTGGTCTGGATCTTCTTTGTCTCTTTATCCTTGCCGTCATCGGACCTCTCGGTGTCAGAGTTGGTACTGCCCGCATCCACGGCGCCCCCGCTTTTCGTGGCGGATGCATCCCCCTCTGTCCCCACAGCGCCCCCGGTGGTGTAGTCGGTAACCTTGGGGATGGCATCAGGCTCCACCATGGGGTTGAGGTCCTCCAGGGCTGCGTGCAGTTTGAACTCAGTGTCCTCCAAGAGGTTGGGAGCAGACGGCAGGTCGGAGCTGGCTGTCATGTGGGCCAGCAGGCCCAGGTCATCGGCGCTGCTGCCGGGAATGACTGTGGGCTCTGGGCCGGACAGCACCAGCCTCTCGGCAGAGGTCAGATGCCCGAGAAGCTTGTTGTCTGGGCCGCCGCCCACCTTGCCAAACAAGAAGCCGCCATCGCCAGTGACGCTGTCCTTTTCGTCAGCCAGGGTGATGAGCGGCCCGGTATTCTTGTCCTCGCCACTCTCCTTGGACACCAGGACGCCGCGCAGGTTGCCCACTGCGGCGCAGTACACATTGTCCAGCAGAGAGTCCACCTCCACCAGCGGCCCGTTCTCCGTTAGGCCCAGCACCTCCGGGGACAGGTCCAGGTCGTCCAGCTTCACCTCAGTGGCCTCCACCTTCTCTGCCTTGATGTCCACCAGCAGGTCATGCACCTCTACCCTCACCCCGCCCACAGGCCGCTCGCCGCCTGCAAGCTCATCCGGCCCCTTGGGGTCCACCAGCAGGTGGCGCGAGTCTGCGCTCTCAGGGTAGTCGGCCTCGCTCTCGGGCGTCTGCGTCTGCGAGTGGTCATCGATCTCGCGGATCTCGATGGCGCCCTTGATGCCCGAAGCAGACAGGCCAGAAATGGTGCTGACTAGGCCCTTCTTGCCTTTCTTGATGTTCTCCTCCTCCTGCCGCTGGTACTCCTCGTACATTTTGGCCAAGTACTCCTTGTGAGCCTCATACGTCACCTGGACATTAAACAGACAGACCTGCTAATTCAAGTCCTGCTGTTTTAGAAACTGATCACATATTTTGAAAAATTTGTAAATAAATACTAGGGAAGTTCCATACATGATTTATGGTTAAAAAAATCAATCTGCTAGACTGCACCTTAACTTTGCTGATTTTAACAAAAGCTTCCCTCTCACCAGCAGAGGGCAGCATTTCTCTGCTTTTCCCAAGCCGACGCGGCCCTCACCTTGGAGTGCGCTATCGACAGCGTGTCCACCCAGACGCGCCAGCCGCCCCACTCGTACTTGATGGCGTGGTACAGCAGGATGCGGAAGATGTTGTACACCATCTCCGTGATCTTCTGCTCCTCAGGGTTCTTGGGGTTGATGTAGCCAAGCGAGAACATCCAGTCCTGCCAGACGGAGCACTGGAGGAGGCACCTGGGGGGCAGGATGTGAGGCGTCAGAGCAGAGTGCTTCACCCCTGACACTGCACGCTCACACCCACACCCACACTGCACGCTCACACCCACACCCACACTGCACGCTTACACCCACACTCACACTGCACGCTCACACTCACACTGCAAGCTCACACCCACACTCACACTGCAAGCTCACACCCACACTCACACTGCAAGCTCACACCCACACTGCACGCTCACACCCACACCCACACTGCACGCTCACACCCACACCCACACCCACACTGCACGCTCACACCCACACCCACACTGCACGCTCACACCCACACACACACTGCACTCAGGAGACTGTTTGAAGTGAATGAAATATCAAATACTCAACCAAATACTCATTTTGTTTCACGGGTATTTTAAGCAGTATTTTCTTTTTCAATTCCCAGTATTCTGCTATACTGTCCCTCCTTAATCTATGATTACTCTACCACATCTACTTGGTGTTACTTAAACGTTAGTTTTGAACATTTATAGATAATAATAATAAGGAAATTATGAAATGAGAAAGTTGCTAATAAACTTATGTTCAGTAAAACAATTAAATGCTCAACCAAATACAGAAAATTGTAAGTGTCCTGCAGAGGGCGATATTTACCAGGCAGCAAGTAGGATATTCCATCTCATTTTGATTGGCCAGATTACTCTGTGCTTTTCGTAAACCAGCATCACTATTTTTCCATTACAAAATTACATGAAATTCTCAATATACTAAGAAGTACTTCTGTACTCCTCATTATTCCATAATTAGGGGTAGAACTTATGAAGGTTCACTCAGCCTTCAGTGCAAGTTCAAGGTGCACTAAAGGTTGAGTGAAGGTAGTTAGCTTGAATTTCTTCAGCTGTGTAAATGGGCCAAGATATAACATTAAAGGCACTTTTAATAGAAGTGATCATCTTAAATAAGGACCTACAGTTAGAAGTCCTTTCTAAATTAAATTACTGTCACATGCTATTGTAGCCTGAAGCCTGAGGAGCATCATCTCTCATTATTAGAGAGTCAACTTGTGTTGTGCCAGTTCGAGGCTCAGCTGGTGAGACAGACAGGCTTGGGCAGATCAAGCTGCCGCTGTGGATGGAGCTCGAGACGAGACGGAGCCCCACCAGGTGAGGGGGACAGCTCCTCACCGCCCAGCTACCCAGCTACTCTGGCTGCTCGACGCCGGAGCCACCTGCTGCGCACACGCACGGACGGCGCCGCTCACCGCCGATTCTCCCGGCTGTTGCTGAACAGCTTGATCATGTCAGACAGAAAGAGGCGACGGACCTCCATCAATTCGGCACTGGGGGAGGAGTTCTTCATCAAGGTAGCCACGACCTTCAGGATCACTGCAATGAAAGGTGATGGGGTGGCATAGGTGGAGGGCAAAGGATGCAAGTTAGTTGGCAAGCACACACACACACAAGCGCACACAGACACAAACACACAAACAGACACACACACACACACACACAAGCACAGACACACAAAGACAGACACACACACAAGCACACAAAGACACAGACACACACACAAGCACACACACAGACACAAACACACACACGCATACATAGACACACAAACACACATACATATGCATGCACACACACAAGCTCACAAAGACACAGACACACACACACAAGCACACAAAGACAGACACAGAAACACACATACACACGCGCACACACACGCAAACATAGACACACAAACACAGACACATAGACGCATGCAAACGCACTGTGATGTTCTAGAGATCTAGACCAAATTCACATGGAGGTTATTGCACAGGACCGATTCAGGGTACATTTCACTGCACGTTGTACTTGTATAACTGTGTATGTGACAAATAAAGAAATGACCCCATCTTAACTGAAAACAGGTCTGTGCAGACATCAGCCAGGTCAAACAAGCAGCACAGTACAAAACACGTAATCTACATGAGCCATATCGGGGTGGTACCAGAGCACGTACTTGGATTCTGAATCTTAACAGTAGAGTCTGGTTCTGGATGGGGTTTGTGCACCACCTGTGTGCAGACCTGTTCTGTAAGGATCTGAAGCGGGACATAACATATGGTCAGTCTCTCAGGGAAAAGAAAGTCGGTTATTTATAGTTACAATCCAAAGGAATCAAATATCACAAATAAACACTCACTGGGAACTTTATTAGGAACACTATATTAATACTGGGTAGGGCCTCCCTTTGCCTGCAAAAAAGCCTCAATACTTTGCGGCATGGATTCCACAAGATGTTGGAAAGATTCCTTTGAGATTGTGGTCCATGCTCATGTGATTGCAGATCTCAGTATTGAATTCTGATGCGGAGGCTGGGAAGACCACTGAGGAACACTGACCTGAGCACTGCTGCCTCAGCTTTCAGATTTTGGCTGACAGAAGTGGAACCTGACATGGTCTTCTGCTGTTGTAGTCTATGATGTCTTTTTGTTCACCACAGATGTACATATAGTGTTTATCTGAGTTATGATAGCCTTCCTGTCAGCTCAAACCAGTCTGGCAGTTCTCCTCAGACCTCTCTCATGAATATGGTGTTTCCATCTTAGAACTTCTGCTCACTAGATGTTTTTTTGCACCATTCTGAGTAAACTCTAGAGACTGTTGTGTGAAAATCCCAGACAATCAGCAGTTACAGAAATATCAAACCAGCCCGTCTGGCAGCAACAATCCTGCCACAAAATCACTGGCATTACATTTCCCCCCATTCTGGTGTTTGATGTGAGCATTACCTGAAGCTCCTGACCTGTATCTGCATGATTTTATGCACTGTGCTGCTGCCACACGATTAGCTGATTAGATAATTACATGAATAAGCAGGTATTCAGAAGTTCCTAATAAAATGCTCAGTGATAATCAAACGCTGCTTAGAAGTGCTAGAAGTTCTAAGAAAGGTTGGACGGTATGTAAACGTTCCAGTAACGCCTGAAATGGAACAAATCCCTGGAGAGGGGAGGTGCTGATTGTCACACCCATTTAAGCCCCATCCTCCCATCACCAAGTTGGCTGGCATACCTCATAGAGTGTGTTGTAGGTAGTGATGGTGACCGTGTTGGCGTGCAACATCAGTCGCTCGCCCAGCAGAGTGAACAGGCTGTGGGTGTGCATGATCTCCACCTTTCTCCTGCAGGAGCATGGGAGAGACGCTTTCCTGTCATCTGACCTCCCCGAGAGAGGTAATCACACACTGGCCAATAACAGCTGTCCTGACCGGCTGAAGAGGCTTTGTCAAACTAGCTGGACCAGGGGGTCTCAGAAAGAGAAGGAGCAGAAATAAAGGCGACTAGGCAATTCATGGCCTGTTGGAAAAGCCTACCCCATGATTTCCAACCCCGCAATCCTGCTTCTCAACAAGAGTCCACTCAACTCTTGATTGCCGCGTGTTGTATAGCTCCCCTCCTCTGCTAAGCGTGGTGCCTAGTGCAGAATGAGCAGTAGGACTGCAGAGCCATTTTCTAAAGCCACCAGGCTCTGAGAGCAGAGAATGTCCTACCTAAAGAAAGCAAGCACCCCACCTTCACATGGGCTCAAGCCCACTTAGGAGAGTCCTTTCCCTGGCAAAGCAGCAAAACATGTACCTTCTCAGATCACCTGCCGGCTCCCTCTCCACCACCAGAGAATGACTCCCCCCTCAAAGACAGTAATGACTGAGCCCGGGCCCCTCTCAAATGGCCGTCCCCTCAAGCGGTGGGGAATGCCTGAGCAGCCATCGCCCTGATTAGAGCTGCCTCAGTCACGCTCACTGTATCCCAGCTGGTATCCTCCCTGCGACTGACTCGCTGTGCTAATCATTAAACTCAGATCCGCTGAGATTCAAGCCTGCAGGCAGGCAGACAGTGCACGACTTACATTTTCAGTAACAGTGGGCTTGTACCAACCATACACAGATACATAAACGTAACCCGTATGTCACACGGCCTTTGAGATTTTTCTCCTTATCATATGCAATATTCTTCTGAGAAATACAAGCAATGAACAAATCACTGCTCTTGGGTCTACTAATCAGTTCAACCAGCTTTGATCATGTTAGTATTTTTATCATTAGTCTATGCATATTTCTAAATGGTGCACCTTGGTGCTTTGTGGGTAATTTGCATAATTAAGATACTGCCACAATACCAAGGACTTATTTTTCTGGACAGTGAGCAGAGAGACAGATAAGGTCCCAGGGGCCTGATGGTCCTCACTGGACACTTACTTGTGCCCCAAGTGCTTGAGGAAGTAGCCTAGGACTTTAAGAGCTTGAACCCGGATGCTCTCGCTTTTGGAGGCCAGCAGTTTGTAGATGACCCTGGACACACACCAAACAACAACAAAAAATCATTCTTCTGACTTATAGCAGAAAAAGGGATGGAAAAAATAGTTCCATTCAGGCTACACAGACAAGAGTCTGCAAAATATCAAAGTGCACATTTTCAACATACAATGACGGAAATCTTCCCGACACAGAGTGTTTGAGGAGAGGAAATAACCTTTGAAAACACCTTTCTTTCACCTCACTGCATATATTTGTTAGCGAACAATGGGAATTTCTGCTTACACATAAGATTTACAGTCCATAAGTAAATACTGCTGCAGAATCAGCCTCACAGATTAAATGCCTGGGTGCCTGCTGAAGTGAGAGTAGAAGTACGTGTGAAATCAGCCAAGCCATTCTGCTGGAGCTGCAGGTCTCACACGGCCACGGGTTTAAGAGACGGCCAGTCACTCGCAGGCTCCATTACAGAGGGCTCTCTATGTGTGGCGGTGCAGCTCTCAAACACCCTGGGGTGGAAGGGGGTGCTTAAAATGACAGAATTTCATGCAGAACAGATGGAGTTTGATGCCTTTAGGGAACTTATATACCAACGAAACTTCAAAGAAGTAAAGCTCTCCTGTTCTGCTAATGTTTTAGCAGCAATAGGCTGTGGTGTTTCAGCGGATTCATCTCTTCGGAGGGACCTGTGTTACAGGAACACTGCAGAGCCTCTGACAAAAAAGGCTGCAGGTCGAAATCACACAGCAGAACGAACGCGGAGCTCAGGAAGTGGTGTCACCAGCAGGGCCACTGCAGGTGCATATTTACCGTATGCCGTTCCTCTGGTCGAAGGCAGGGATCATCGAGGCGGGATGCTCGGACATGAGGGCAACCAGCAGCTGCAGCACGTCGTGGATGTTCTCGTCCTGTGGAGATAAGCAAGGTGGTGCCCAAAATCTTAATACCACCTCAGGACTGACTTGTTCCCAGTGTCCATTTAGCAGGTCTGGGATGGTGAACGCTTGGCAACCGACCATCTCCCTTCCCCGGGTATGCTTATGGGCCCCGTGCCAGGGCCCTACCAACATGCGGGGCCCAACGGGAGGCCCCCAGTATGGCTGACTTGCCTCATGCATCGTTAGCAGGTAGTTAAGCACACTCTGCAGCTCATCCTCCTTCACGCCACGATCCTGAAAGATAAATGCCAACTTTTACGAAACAAGGTGTGATTTTCTTTTAGCTATTATTGCTAGGATGACAAACTGCAAGGGTAAAAGACAAACAGGAAAGATTTCACCTTATAAGATTGCGTGCAAACGATTCAGCATGATGAAAGCCACCCAATGATTTGGAGAAAACCACAAATTTCAGCAACTTTTAAAAACAATGCATGGTAGAGTCCAGTACATGCATTGTCATACAGTATTTAAATGCATAGTTTAATGCATGTATTGGTGAGACAGGCCCAGGCAGCACAATCCTCACTGTACGAGGAAAACTACAGAAGGAAGGCTATGTAGTGTTAGTAACTATACAACAAATTGACATACAGTGTGAACAGTATGTAGGAAACCAAAAACCATGAGCAATGATCCAGAGTGTGAAGAGTATGCAGATAGACAAGGGAAGCCCCATATTATAAGTTGTGAGTATACAAAACCACATAGTATAAGTAGTCAATACACAAAAACCACACAGTGTGTACTGTATGGACACAAGTGACACTCAACATTATGAGTAGTAAGTACACAAAGCTATACAGTATAAGTAGTGAGTAAACAAATCCACATAGTATGAACAATATGGAGACAAGAGAAGCCCAACAAGATGAGTAGTAGGTACACAAAGCCACACCATATGAGTAATGAGTATACAGCACTACATGGTATGAACAGTATGAAGTTAAAGGAAGCCCCACAGTACGAGCATTGAGTATACAAAGCCACAGAGTATGAGCAGCGAGTAAACATAGCCATGCGTTATGAACAGTATGTAGGCAAGGGAACCCCTACAATATGAGTACTGAGTATATAAAGCCCTACAGTATGAGTAG